GTATCCTTTTTTTGAATTCTTTTTTTTTTTTTTTTTTTTTTTTGTTTCTGTTTTTCTATATACAGGTAATAATGGCAGATGAAATAAGTACGAGGTTTGCACTCGCATAGAGGGGAAGCTGCAAGCACTTTCTTCAACATTTTCGGAGCATACCATTTTTAGAGTGCCTCGCCAACTATATGAGGTGAATGAAAAAGCCTATGAACCAGAAATCATCTCAATTGGTCCTTATCATCGTGGCAAAAATCACTTGAAGATGATGGAAGTGCACAAGGTTCGCTTCTTAAGAATGCTTCTTCGCCGAACAAATGAGCATACTGCGGAACCGTATGAGCATACTGCCGAACCATATGTAGCAGCACTGAGAGGTATGGTCGAAAAAGCCCGTAACTGTTATTCAGAACCTCCAAGTATTAGCACAGAAGACTTCCTAGAAATGTTGGTGCTTGATGGATGCTTTATTGTTGAGTTAATTCACCAATTATGTCTTGATCGTAACATGGATGAGTATGTCGTTAGAGTGGAGGGTAATTTGGACAGGATTTTGCATGATTTGATTCTATTTGAGAACCAACTTCCTTTCTTTGTGCTTTGGGAGTTGTTTGGTATAATAAGGGGAAATGAGAGAAACTTTTATGTTAGGTGTCTTCTACTACTCTTCCGTGCCAAGATACCGGCACCAAGAGTTGATGTTGTCTATGACAATACTTCAATTGAAAGTGTCAAGCATTTACTGAACTTGGTACATGGGAATTGGCTTCCTTCAAGAGAAGTAAGGAAGGATGACTCGCGAGCACCAAAAGATGGCAATTGGCCATTTATACGTTCTGCTACAGAGCTTAAAGAGGCTGGAATTCGGTTCAAGAAGGGTAAAGGAAATAGCTTGTTTGACATAATGTTTAGAAATGGCGTACTCGAGATTCCTATGATAAAAATTACAGATACCACAGAGCGTTCGTATCGCAATGTCATTGTCTGTGAACAATTTGAGAAAGAAATTCCAAAATACTTCACTGAATTTACCTTGTTTATGGATTGCCTGATTAATGCAGGGAAAGATGTGGAGTTACTTTGTCACTGTGGAATAATTGAAAATTTGTTAGGCAATGATGAGGCTGTTGCGACCCTGTTTAATAGGCTCGGAGAAAATGTCACTGTCATCGGCTCCAGCGAATTCTATGCCCGGATATGTCATGATGTCAATGAGCATTACAATGCACTTTGGAACAAAAGGATGGCAAGCTTAAGGCACAACTATTTCAACACTCCATGGGCGCTCATCTCCTTTCTTGCTGCAGCTTTCTTGCTTCTGCTTACCCTGCTTCAAACGACATTTACCATTTTTCCTAGACATTAATCTTTGATGTAGAGTTAGTGATAACAAAATTTGTCATTTGTTTAAAAGTTAAGATTGACTTCTACGCAACTTTTATATGTATTATTTATACAAAATCTTAATAATTTCAACTCTTAATTCTAAATGGTTAAATTTTTTATAAATAATATATGTAAAAATTGTGCATAAGTTAATTCTTACTCTTTATTTAATTTGTATTGTATTTTATCTAGAATGTCTAGTAAAGTTGTCAAAATTGAGAATTTATGTAAAATTATTTTGGTTTAAGTGAAAATTGAATATATAAAATTGAGAATTTACAAAATTAATTAAAATTTTATACATTGTTAAAATTTAACCTCATACATTCAAAATTGAAATTTATCCAAGAATGTTAACTACTAATCAATTATTTCAATTTTTATTAAACATTTTTCCATTTCATAATCATTTTTTCATTTTTATTAAAAAGCTTTAATTTAATTTATTAAAAAATTAACGAAAAAATATAACCACAATTACTATTATTATACCATAATTGAAAATGAAAAGTTTTATTTCATTTTAATTAATTAATTAATTTAATTTAATGAAAAAATAAAATGCAAATTATAACCAATCTAATAATGATTAGAATTAAATTTGATGGTAGAAATAAATGATGTGATAGTGAAAAGGACCAGCTTGGGATTTTATTAGGATTTATTAGTATTTTTTAAAAAACAATTTCAATTAATTCATATTGTACATATTTTATAATTTAGTAACTTAAAGATTGGAAATTAAAGGATAGTGAAAGTGAGAGTCTTACTATTATTATGAAAATACAATAAAGAATGTAAAAACAAAATGTTTAAAAATTGGTTGCATTATGTAGGTGCTTCAATTGCTTTTCCTCAATATCAACGTGTATTTGATTCAAACTATCAAGTTTTATTTTTCTTTAATTATGTTACATATTTTATTTTATCTTAAAATATTTTATTGCTAAAATTTCAAAAATCTCCTATTTCAAATTTAAGCATTGTAAATTATATCTATTTATCTATATC